CCTGGGACCCAGAGAGTGTCTTGGCTATGACGTCCCAGGCCACCCCCCTTTGGCCCCCATTGGCAGCTTCCCCAGCAACTCAGCTCACACTGCCCTCTGCTGGGTGTCCAGGATGCTCAGCTTCCTGAGAGGCTCCACACTGGATGTGACCATCAAGGCTCCCTTAGCACTGTCCCAGACCACATCTGGCCAAGTCTCACTCGCTCTACAGAACTGCCAGCCCGTCTTCACCGGGATCCACACCCAAATACGGTAGGTGCCGTGCAGGGAGAGCTGAGTGCTGTGCGGGAGTAGTGGGGGACGATGCTGTGCATAGTGGCAACTACCAGGCTCACTGGGGACCACAACAGCCAGGGTGCAGCAAGCCACACCACCAGAGCATCTCTCTTCTCATTTCAACCACCAGGGAACCTAGATTTCTAAACAAGAGAGGTTAGCTTCTCACTGGAAGCACATGTCTTCCCTGAAAGTGGCCATGAGTGTTGCATGGTCCCTTTTCTGCGCAGGATCCTGGACAGAGAGATCCTGGGGAGGATCTCTGTCATATCACTTCTCACATTATGTTGTAACTGAGTGCATATCCCTACAGGAGCTCTGTGAGAGCAGAAGCTGCCTTATATTTATTATTCATGTGTTCATTTATTTACTCAACAAATATTCAACCAGTCACTACAGTGTTGTTCCTGGAGATACACTGGAGCAAAAGACAGAAAAGAATGAGTAGATGGCTGGCTAGGCAGATGAATGGATGAGTGAGAGGATGGGTGGCTGGGAAGATGGATGGATGGATGGATACAGTATAGATGGATGGATGGATGGATGGTTGGATGGATAGATGGAGGAGGTATATGGATGGAGGGATGGACTGAAGGGTAAAAAATAAACTGATGACTCAAAAGCACTTTTGTGGTCTCTCCTAAAAACCTAAGCTAGGTTCACTAGATGAGGTCTAAAAATGCATGCTCACTTAGTTTAAGAGCAATAGGCTAAGGGTTAGTCAGATTCTGTACCACTATATTCCAGACAGACCAGTCCTTAAAAAGGTGTCCGTCCAGAGGCTGGGCTGGGAACCCAGTCACCCCTTAATGGAGGATCTCTAGGCTCATTATTTCATGGTTGAGAAAGACATTGTAAATCACGGATGGACACTATAACTCAGGGTTTAAAAAGACAGTCAGCCGAGCCTGAGAACCCAACCACCTGCTGTCTGTGATCCTTTCTAGCTCCCGGACTCTGAATTCAATGCCTTAGAATAAAGATCATAAACTTATATGCCCATTAGGGGTAGGAAATTAGCAGAAATTAGTAAGTGGGCTTCAGTTAAGAGAAATACAACATACAAGTTCAATTTCAATTTTATGGCCGCAATAGAGAATGGTGGGCTGTGCAAACCAAACATTATATGCCTCATCTGAAGAGGGCAGTCCCTCTTTGGCTCTAGCTCACTGGCCGTCTGGGAAGGTGGACCCAGTTGGGTGTGATTTCTGTGTCTTAAGTAGAAACTGGACATATGGATTTTTATGTAAAGTTACTTAATTTTTAAATTCTGAAAATTCACTCTAAAATTTTAAAAGACTGTCCTTGCAAAAGGAAACACGCCCATGGGCCTCTTTTGGCCTGCAGCCTACCACTTAGCAACCATTATTTTAGAAGCTTGTTTCTAAGAAGAAATGCCTTCTATGCACCTTTAATCAAGTCACAAAGAGGGTAAAAACTACCACCTGTTTAGGAGGCACTAGAGGCCCTATTGACGACAGGTTGTCCTCCAGCCCATCTGTTTCTTTCACTTATCAAATCTTCACCACAACTCTATTTTACATATTACACATGAGAGGCACAGAGATGTTATGTAAATTGAACAAGGTCACACAGCCAGGAAGTAGTGCCCTGGGAGGCAAAGAATCTATTATGGTCATTTGAGTTAGCAGATGCCAAAGGGCTTAGACTCGCCTTTGGAGGGGAAAAAACATTTTGTTAACTATTAGCTGTCATTGCTGTTCTTTTAAATGTCCCTGTTCCCCTTCCCAGCCTGCTCTCATCAGTGATGAAAGTCATGCTGAAGCAGGCCCTGCGGAACTCCTTACCCAACATGGTGAGTTTGACAGGGTGGGCCCGGCAGACCCTGGAGATCAGCTGAGGGTACAGAGGAACAGCCAAGGTAGGGAGAGGCAGCCCATGTAGGAAGTTTTATCCCTGGACCCTCCGGACTCACAGAACTTTGCTGCCCTGTCCTTTGTCTAGGTCCCCGATGCTGGGGGAAAGGGGAGAGAAAGGGACACTTACGGAAGAAGTGTGCCAAGTAGGTTTCACCTGTGGAAGAGGGAGATCTGTGTTGTGTTTACAAAAGACTGATAAAATCACTCCACTCTATGTGGCCAGTCAGAGGCTGGGCTGGGCCAAGCTGGGAGGGTGGCCCAATTTCCCTGTCACAGAGGCCTCTGCTCATCTGCATTTCAGCTGTGCCCAGTGGTCCGATTCTGGTTCTACGTCATCAATCAACAATTGAACGTCCTGAAAAGTGAGTGTTACCGGCCTGAGCATTACTCTCTTGCTGAGACATTGCAGGAGCGGCCCCGCCCACTCCTGTCTTCTCCCCTTCAGGGCTTCTAGAGAGACTTTTCTGCATCACACCTCTGATCAGAATCTTCGGTAGCTTCCCATTACCAGGACGATCAAATTCAAAGCCCCTAAAGCTGGCAGTCAAGGTCTTTCCTGCAACTGCTCTAGCCTCATTCTCCTCTGTCCCCATCCTGCTGCTCCAGCCAGCTGATGTCCAGGCAGCCCATATACTCCAGGCCCTTTTGACACATCACAGCTTTGCTCTGAATGACTTCTGACGTCCTCCTTCTGTCTGGAAAAAATCCCACACTCTTTTAAGGTGTGACTCCAGTGGTTTGTCCTCCCCAAAGCCTTTCCAGATGTCTCCAGGTAGAATGACTCTGGCTCAGGACTGCCATGATATTTGCACAACTATCCATCAGGCTTATCATACGGTGTAGTCATTGTTGGGTTTCCTGCACTAGAATGGAAGCTCCTTGATGGGGAGGAACTCTCTTGTGGTCTTTCTTGTATTTGTCTCATAGCTGGGCAGAGTAGGCACTCCACATATACTCTGTCGGAATATGAACTGGAGATGAAAGGGAGGGAGAATGGGTGAATGGAACAAAGGACGGAAGTATGAATGAGTGGTAAAATAGAAAAGTGAAAATATGTATGGAGGAATGGGTGGAGAGAAGAATGAATGAGTGGATAGATAATTACGAGGAGGTACGGACAGAATATGATGAAAAAAGAATGCAAGGAAGTGAGCATGGAGGAAAGGGAATTTAGGTGGAGGAAGGAATAGAGGGAAGACAGAAAAATGAGATGGATATAAGAGAAGCAGGAAAGATGAAGGAGGATGGATGGATGGATGAAAAGAAGGAAAGGGAAGAAGAATGGATAAAATAATGAAAGTAGAGAAGGAAGTAATAGATGGTTGAATAAAAGGATGAGGGCATGAAAGGGAACATGTATGGAGGGATGAGTGACAGGATGGATGGAAAAAAAGGAGGGTCTGTTACTAGGTGTGTGGAAGACGGATGATGGATGGATGTGCGGAGAGATAATATGTGGATTAATTGAAAGAGTGATGGAAGAAGAAAGGAAACAGGAGCGATGGATGAAAGGAAGGGAAGGGGAGAAAGAGAGGGAGGGAACACCAGGTGGTTGGATGGGTGGATCGTTGGGAAGAGAGTAGAAAAATGATGGTAAGGCAGGCAAGAAGGAGCTATAGATGGGTCGATGGATGGATGGACGGACGGAGGGATAGACAGATTACTACGTTCCAAGTTGAGAATGTTCTCTTGTGCCAGAAGACAACAGAGCACTGGGGCTACAGTGTATTTTCCAGAAGTTTGGGAATTGTCCCCCCTCTTGTGGGTAAGTCTGTGTATGGCAGGGACAAAGGAAGGAGTTTTATGAGTCTGTATTTCAGTCAACTTGATTCTTGGATCTCCTCTTGTCCTCCCTCCCACTGTCACCTCTGTCCCTCTCTCTCCTTCAGATGTTCACTCCCTCGGGCTATTTAGGAGCCTTTACACTGCTCTCACCCAAGTACCCACATCATTGGAGCCTCATTACCGCCTGGACTTTCAGGTACGAGCAGTGGGTTCTCTCCTCAGGAATCTTCTGAGATTAGCCATACCTTCGCAACTGAGACTAGCTCGGTAGTGGCCTCATCACTCAGGGGGTCCCTTTGGCCAGGCAAATGTGCCACAGCTGCCCTGTTAAGAGAAGCGTACGTGTCATGGTTTTAGAGGCAGGCAGGCTTGGCTGCTGCTTGACTGTGTGACTTTGGACAGGTCCCCTTGCCTCCCCATGCCTCAACTTTTCTCATCTCTCAGACCCCTATGAAGTGATTGTTGATCATCAGTTCCAAGACATACATTTCCCCCACATTGTAACAGTGTAACATCTGAAACTGGTATGTGTCTTATATTCAATGCTATGTCATAGTGTAGTTGGCAATTTAAAAAAAATTCTCAGTGGCACATTAAATAATGTGTATCTTAGTCAATGGTATTTTGACATGCGTGAAATACAGTAAAATGATTAGATAAGAAGATGTCTGGTTACTTGTCCAGCAAAGAGTAGGGACTCAAAACTTAATGGTTTATTCCCCTTTTCCCCTGACTTAAATAATATTAAAAAACAAAACAAAACAGTCAAGTTGGTTATTTGACATCACGATATGTGGGGTCCATGCTAGAGGAGAGGTCCATGTTAGACCATGTTGGAGGAGAGGTCCATGCTGGAGGAGTGGTCCATGGTGGCCTCTCTTGCATCCCTCCCAGTCTGAGCTGCTTCTAAGCATGAACATCATCCTACCAGCACCTCAATTCATGGGAAGTTCTGATTATGAAAAGGGTGTTTTGTTCCACAAAGTAGGACCTTCAGAGATTTTGGAACCAACAGCCTGCATGCCTTCTGGCACTCAGCCGTCCAGTCAGATATGGGGGTCCAGATTTAAGGAACAGCTCTGCCGCCAGCTCACTGTAAGACCTGGACAAAGCTGTTCACATCTCTAAATCTCCTCTTCCCTGTCTATAATCCCCTTGTTGCAAGTTTGTTGTGAGGATCAAATGAGAGGCTCGGGCCCTGGCACGCAGATGATGCTCAATTAATGGAGGCTCTCTGATTTTCCCCAGGACAAACATTTCCCGGCCTCTTTCATTAACTGGCTGATTGAAAGTAAGTTTTTCTTCTTATATCCATCCCCGTTGTCCCCCAACCTCAATGCCATCTTCAATGTTGAGCAATCCTTTCTCAAGTTTTTGAAAACCGGTGTAAAGTCCTGCAGCTGTGGACAGCCCACCTGACACACAATCTGTATTTTGATCCATAGTGACCACTGAAGCTGGGTTTTTGGGTAGCAACGTCACAGTGACCAGTGTTACAACAGGGCTCCTGAGCTAGCCCTCCCCGTAGTGATTAGTGTTACACTGGAATTCTAGAGTCTCCTATTCCATTGTGATTCTTTTTTTTCCAAAGATTTTATTTATTTATTTGTCAGAGAAAGAGAGAGAGTGCGAGCACAGGCAGACAGAATGGCAGGCAGAGGCAGAGGAAGAAGCAGGCTCCCCGCCAAGCAAGGAGCCCGAAGTGGGACTCAATCCCAGGACACTGGGATCATGACATGAGCTGAAGGCAGCTGCTTAACCAACTGAGCCACCCAGGCATCCCACCATTGTGATTCTTGTTGTAGATTTTTCTGAAGTAGCCCATTCCATAGTGATCAGTGTCAGAGCCAAGTTCTTGGGATAGCCCACTCCATCGTCACCAGCATTAAGGTGGAGCTCCTAGTCCACTAACCTAGTCCACGGTGAAGAGTTTGGGCAAGAGATTCACTCCCTCTAGAATAATTAACCATTCAATAAAATTGCTGAAATTTTCTACTCTTGATGATCAGTTTTGTGGGATTCCTGGGATATTCTATCCAAAAGCGAAGACTATTGTAATGGTGTCCCTAAAATACTTCACTATTGTGGTCCGTTACTGGGGTATCTCATTCCATAGTGAAGGTATTACCATTGGGTTTCTGGACTAGCTCCTTCTCTTGGTGTTGAAGTGAAGCTGTTCTTAGTATTATGGTTAAGCTTCCAGGCCATCCCATGTCATGGTGAAGAGCATTGTGGCGAGATTCCTGGGACATTCCACAACTCTAGTGTGAGAAGCTTCCTAATAAAGCCAACTGATGACTGAGTCTTGGCAGAATTCTTCTTCTTTCTTTCTTTATTTTTTAAAATATTTTATTTATTTATTTGACAGACAGAGACCACAAGTAGGCAGAGAGTCAGGCAGAGAGAGAGGAGGAAGGAGGCTCCCCGCTGAGCAGAGAGCCTGATTCGGGACTCGATCCCAGGACCCTGAGATCATGACCTGAGCTGAAGGCAGAGGCTTAATCCTCTGAGCCACCCAGGCACCCCCATTCTTCTTCTTTTTTTTAAATCATGTCACTATGTTCCCAGTCTATTTCCCAAATCCCCTATGCTCTATGTGTGTAGGGGAGGGGGCTCTGGACAAAGGAGAACTGTCCTGGCCAGACTTCAGAACTATCATCACATCACTATCATCAGGCCACCTCTGCCCCCTCTAGGTCTCTCAGGGGAGGAGATGAGAGACCCCTACCTCAAGCAGGAGGAGCAGCCTAGAGTCTCCCCAGGGGAGCCAGGGATGGAGAGCCCTCTAGCTGCTTCCCTGGCAGTTCTCCATGAATGTGGTGAAACCCAGGGAAGATGGCCAGAAAAAGCTGTGGCCTGGGCACTCTGACCCCGGAGTCCGAGGCACAATGCCACTCCCAGCTCTCCAGTAGACCTCATACCAGTTGCATCCTCTCTCTGGGCCTCTCCTGTCCCACCTGTAAAATATGCACCATCTCTAAAGGCCTTTCCATCAACGATGAGTGTTGGGGACACGGGAGAGGACAAGACCAGAGGCCAGAGGGGTCTCTGGAAAATCCATAGCCACTATCGGCCTGTCTCACGGTGGTCTTTCTTTGTTGCCAGTTGCAGAGACCCAGTGGTCACCCTATCTGTAGGATCAGCGTGGCACCCCTGCCAGCACTATGGTAAGGAGGTTTAAACCCTGAGGGTCCCTGTGGAACTCTCTGACCCCCATCTTGAGGGATTGTCATCTTCATTCACTGCAGATAGTCCCTTTGTTAGAGCTTGGCTTCGGATATGCTCAGGGCTGGTAAGATGTCATACCTCTCCAGAAAGGTGTTTCAGCATGGGGCTGCTTAAGGCAGATGAGCCTCTAAGACCTGAACCAAAGGAATGGGGTGGTAATGGGGGAAGGCCAGGCGGTGAGCATCGTGCCCCCATCCGGGGGTACGTGTGCTGCATGGCGGAGGGTTCAAGCATTCCCGCTGGCCACTGGAGTTAAGGCCATGTTCTGCATTCCAGTAAGATGTGAAAAAGTCAGCCTGTTGACTAGCTGTGAGCCACTAAGGGCTCAGAGGCAATGGCGCTACCCCAGTGAGGTTACCTGGGACCCTCTGACCTGCACCCTCAGCTCCTGATTGCCTGTCCTCTGCCTTCCCCTCCCATAGAAGAAATCTGCTCCAAAGCTGCTTTTTCAGTGTTTAAGATACACTTTAGGATCTGCCTGGAAAAAAAAATACAACTGAGGAATAAGATACACATTTAAAATCCCAGAAGGACAGAATCCGGCCCGCAGAGGCCATGGAAACCCCAGGATCTTCCTGATGGGCTGGTGGCAATGAGCTGGGAACCCTTTGCGTGCAGGAGCCTCTCTCGGGACATGGTTGCATATTTCAGGGAGGGGGTCGTCCCTGTCACACGTCTTCAGTACAACAGTGAAGAGCACAGGCTTTGGAGTCAGGTAGACTCGAGTTCAAATCCTGCTCGCCCACTGACTCTCTGAACCTCCGCTTCCTCTTCTGCAAAATGGGAGTGAGAATAGCCCCTAGCTTAGCGAGTAATCCTGAGAAAATGCATGAAGAAAGCTTATGTGCAGAGCCTGCTTCGCGAACTGCCTCCTCCGGGAACAGTGTACAAATGAGGAGGCAGAGGGAGCAACTGGGCAAAGATCTGGATAGGAACTTCAAGGGTGTGAGAACCCATAGTCAGACCCTCCGCGTCATCCCTGCTCCCTACGGACGAGTCCCTACAATGACAGCGGTGGAAACTGCGCGAATTTCAGCAGCCCCCTTCGCTCATCCCTCCGGGCATCCCTGCGCCCTGCAGAAAGAGTGACCAGAGCAGACTGGCAGGACCTCTGAGCGAAGGGGTGCAGTTCCCAGACTATACCACGAGGTGGAGCTATGCCCCTGCTAATCCATGTTTCCTATACCCAGACTGAAGCCGCTTAGGTAAAGCCGCCTTTTTAATGTCAGGCACTGTGCTGGGCACTTGGCTTTCATGATCTTGCTTGATTTTCTTTTCTTTTTTTAAGATTTTATTTACTTGTTTGTCAGAAACAGAGAGAAAGAGAGCACAAGCAAGGGGAGCTGCTGGCAGAGGGAGAGGGAGAAGCAGGTTTCCCACTAAGTAGTGAGCTGGATACGGGACTCAGTCCCAGGACCCTGGGATCATGACCTGAGCCGAAGGCGTCCAGAAGCCCCGTTCTTGCTTCATTTTCAAAGCCATCTCTTAAGATCAATATTATCAGCTTCATTTCAGAGAAGTGATATGACTAAATATGGAGGCTAGGAGTCAGAATTCATGGGCTCAAATCCCAGTTCTTCAGCCTACTACAATAGTTAACCTGTCCATGCTTCGGTCTCCCCATTTGAGAAATGGGGCTAATATTAGCAGTAACAATATGGTAGTTAATGGACTTTAACTATTTGTTTGTTTGTTTGGTAGGCTCCACACCCAGTGTGGAGCCCAATGCAGGGCTTGAACTCATGACCCTGAGATCAAAACCTGAGCTGAGATCAAGAGTCAGATGCTTAACCCACTGAGCCACTGAGGTGCCCCTTGAGCTGCTTGTTTTTGTTCTGTGTCTGGCCCTGTGCTGTGCACCTCACGTGAATCACTCATGTCGTCCTCACAGCCACCTTAGGAGGTGGCTGTTAATATCCCTCGTTTGCAGATAAGGAAACTGAGGCTCGGAGAGGCTAGCTGCCTGTCCCATTTTCACATAGACGGAGTGAAATTCCAACCCAGGTCTCTGGCAGAGAGCTGTAGGAGGTGCCGGTGACTAAAGGCTCAGGGAAGAGACACCCCAGGTTCTTGTCCTGGCCCACAACTGTCCATTAAGTCCCCCACACTGTTCTGGCCTCAGTTTTCCCACTGGTACTACAAGAAACAGGAGGATGTAGGAAGCCAAGCCCTTTTGCAATGCCCTGGTTCTATGACTCACAGTATGGCAGCCAAGAGACCCATCCTGGAGGTGCCAGAGCTGGGGCAGAGGGAACGTACAGTGAAGGGAGGACCCCAAGTCCAGGGCTCTCCCCGCACCCTGCACAAAGCCACCCCTGAGCTCCAGCCTCTCTAGGCATCCTCATGTCCCATGAGCCCATGGCCTGAGGACACACAGCGGTGGCTCACAAGGCCATTCTGGCCCAGTGACACACATAACAGTCTCCATTCCCCCAACCTCCTTTTCCAGCACCGCCTTTGTGAACAACACGAGGGGCCCTGTGGGCCTGGAGCAGAACTGCGTGGAACCAGATGGGGAGAAAAAGAAGGAAGACAGAGGGAAGCGAAGTGGCCTTTGGTTTTCCCCCCAAAGTCTCTGCGGTGCACCCACACCCGCTGTCCTTGTCCAGCAATGAACAGCCCTGAGAGGCGGCCCGTTGCCAAAGAATCTGGACTGGGAGGGCTGTTGGTTCTTTCAGACAACAAATACAGGTCACGTTTGATGTGAATCTGATTTATGCAAATATGGAACAATGTCCTGAGAAACATTAATGAAGTTTCACTTTGTGACCAGAAAGTTAATTTTTTTCATTGTTAAGAGCATACAACTAAACACACTTTAGTCTCTCCCTCCTTAGGAAGAGTCAAGGTCCTCTCCTTTGGCCCCACATTCCCTCCAGTTCCCTACCTCTGTCTCTCTTCTCCTTCTCAGCCAACGTCCCCTTGACGTTGAACTCGCACAAGAACCACCTGGGGCTCTGTTGAAATGCAGGTCCTGGTGTGGTTAGAGTGGGCAGAAACATGAGGTTCTGCCTTCACAACATGCTCCCTGCAGAGACCGATGCTACGGGTCCCTGGGCCACCCTTTGGGCTGGAGGCTTGTCTTGGGCACATCCAGCCTTCACCACCTGCTTTCCATCAGTCACCCCACAACCCAGCCCCCACACCAGGTCCTCAACAATTTCCATGTGGAGCAAACCTTCAGACCCTTGTTGGCCTCATCTTACTTGGCCCCAGTACCGACACTTACTTCCTCCTCCTTGAAACCAGCTCTTCTTTTGGCTCTGCTCCCCTGACTGTCCTCCTGTCCCTCTGCCCATGGCACCTCGCCTTCTCTCATGGGTACGTATATCCATGCTGGCCTGTCTACTCCTTCAACCCAGGCACTGTGATCTCTTCAGAGCTCAGCGTGCAGCCCCAGCTGGGGGTCAGCCTAGACTTTTGAAGAAATATTAGGGAAGAAATACCCTCTTTCTGCTAGGGTTGTTAAGACAGGGTACGGCCCCAGAGCTGCCAGGGGCTGTTTCTGCCACCTCTTGGGTATAGTCAGTCCGAGAACGAAGCCAATGAAGAAGAAAGCAGAGCCACATCATGAAGAGAGGCACAGTCCTGAAGATTTCCTTTGAGCACTGGGATTCAGCTGTGCCTGAAACCCACGGACCTTCAGTTAATGGGAGCAAGGACTACCTGTCACACTTAAATCAGTTTCAGTTGTGTTTCCCATTACAAGCAACCCAAGGAACTCTGATGGAAGCAATTAACAAACACATGGCAGTTCCCTCTGTGTCAGCCACAGTGGGCAGTGAAGCGCATCCCAGACAGACTTTGGCCTTCCAGAGTTGACCATCGTGTGTGTGTGTGTGTGTGTGTGTGTGTGTGCGCGCAAGGAAGAGCCCTGTTCAAAACCTAAGGGCAGAAAGTGAGCAGGGCCAGCAGAGTGAGCCAGTGAGGGCTTCATGGAAGACGCCCCCTGAAGGATGGGGAGACGTGTAGGGGTGTGACATCCTCAGGCCTGGTTTGGGGCATTGGGAGGAGGTGAGGCAAACAGGTCCAGGAGGCCAGAGAGGAGGCCCTAGGGGCGCTCCAGAACAGACAGCCTGAGAATGGGGGGACGTGGAGATCCCGAGAGACCACAGTCCCAGGAGTAAAGATAGGCAGCTCTTCTGGTTTCTCCAGACTTCATCCTCCCCGTTTACCGGACCAGCCGCTGCCTATTGCTCCTGAACTCTGCCTTCTTCTTTCACTTAATGTCCCCCTAGGCCCTCCTCCCTGGGATCAGCACCTGATTTTAGAGAGGGGCTTCAGAGAACTGAATTGCCCTGTGTAAAATCACACAGCTGGTAAGAAGCAGGGTCGGAATAGAGACCTTGCCCCTTTGCCCAGCCTCCGACCTCCCCCTGCGGGGGTGGGGGAGGGCACTGTGGAGCTATCTTTGCTGAGCGCTTACTATGTGCCAGGTCTGGGAGCTTAAACCTCACCTAATTCTCACACCACTCTCAGCAAATTGGCCTTCCTGATCTCTATATTGCAAATGAGGATTGGAGACTCAGAGAAGTGATGTAACTTGCTTAAGGTCACACAGTAGAAAGTAGGAGGGTTAGGATTTGAACTGAGGTCTGGTTAATTACTAAAAGTCCCAGCAAGATAAATATACTCAAAGCGACCCCAGATTTGGAAACCATGCCAACATCTAATCTTCTGTCTTATCCATCGCCACCTATATCCTAATGTCTTATTATTTCCTCTTTCAAGTCCCAAAGTGCTTAGTTCAATCCAATTCAGTGTTTATGAAGGGCCTTCATCAGGACGGGGCTATGTGCCCGAGACAGAGTGAGGCCTCTAGAGGAAAATTCTGACCATTTGTAGGGTTTTCAAAGGACAGAACATTTTCAAGTATATTATCCCCACAGTGCGTACCTGTGCCTCTGGTGTACTGAGGCTAGATGCACATATGAGCACT